TCACTCCTCATCTGTTCATGCAGCTTCCATCACTCCGTATTATCGGTTGAACTGCATCCCTCAAAATTTTACATGTTGCCCTGGCTGGTTTGGCTCACTGGATAGAGCATCCGCCTGGGGACCGCAGGGTCCCAGGTTTTTGAGTCCGGAAGGGCGTGTACCTTGGTTGCGGGCACATCCCCACGAGGGGGTGTGCAGGAGGCAGCTGATGGATGTTTCTCTCCCATCGATGTTTCTAACTATCCCTCTCCCTTTCTCTCTGTAAAAAAAATCAATAAAATATCTTTTTTAAAAAAAGAAAAGAAACCAAGTTCTCTTGAATCTCTGGACCCCTTGCTCTTTATTAACACAAAGTAGAGGCCTGGTGCATGAAATTTGTGCATGGGGTGTGGGAGGAGGGGGCAGTCCCCACAGCCCAGCCTGCACCCTCTCCAATCTGAATCCTTCTCACAATTCTGGACTGCTTGCTCCTAATTGCTCACCTTCTTGCCTGCCTGGTCGCCCCTAACTGGCCCCCTGCCGGCCTGATAGCCCCTCACTGCCTCTGCATGCTGGCCTGATCGCCCCCAGCTGCACCCTCCCTGTGGGACTGGTCACTCCTGACTGCCCCTTTCCCCCCACTGGCTTGGTCGCCCCATGCAGCCTGCTTTTTCGGTCGTTTGGTCATCCCTCGGGCCCACCCTGGGTTGCTGGGCAGCCACCATCCAAGGCTTGCCTGCACCTCAGGCCAGCCCTGGGCAGCTGGGAGGCTGAGGGGACTGGCAGACACCAGAGCAGGCATGGCCGTGGGTACTGGGCACCAGCATCTAGTGGCTGTGGGCGTCACCGTCTTTGTGACAGCTTGCGGATCAGTTAACATATTCCCTCTTTAGTAGATAGGATTGTCCTAAGGCAAGGTAGATAGATATACACGTGTTTAGTATACAGAGGCATTGTTGGGTTGGGGGAACTGCCTACAGCTGTTCAGGTGTTTCGCCAGGTCCAACAACCTTTTGATGAACTTCTTGCATTTATGACCTGCTGGAATTAGCTTCCAGCACTGGTGCCTGGCTGAACTTAGATCAGGAAACCCACCCCCTGGTGCCTGAGCTAAAAGTCAAGCTGACAACACGCCTGCCTCTGGCAAGGTATGTTTCCAGGTCATGGCTCTGCCAGGTGCCAATGAATTCAGATGACAATCGCCTCAGGAGCCTTTCCCAGGTGCTCTCTACATGTAATACCTTAATCAATAAAGAAAAAATAAAAGAAAACATTTGGGGGGAAATGTTAATGTTGCCGGCGGATACTATGTAATTAGGCCTACAGTGGTTGCATCTATACCAGCGGTTCTCAACCTGTGGGTTGCGACCCCTGAAAATACATCCTGCATATCAGATATTTTCATTACGATTCATTAACAGTAGCAAAATTACAGTTATGAAGTAGCAACGAAAAATTTTATGGCTGTGTCACCACAACCTGAGGAACTGTATTAAAGGGTCTTA